GTCTAACCAATGGAGATGATATTAAGGACGAGATTTGTGCTTATGATAGTTAAACATTATCGATAAATAGAGTATTATAGTACGCGTGAATAGCTAATACGAGTTACACAAAATTTACCAACTTAAATATTTAACAGTGTATTATGTTAATTTCCAAATGTACAATCCTGTGAATTGAATAATACTGAAAGTACTATCTGCATTATATTTCTAGTTAGGGGGTGGGAATGTGACAACTTAATGAAGATACAAGGGTGCAATAAATATTTTAATTTGTAGTGAATGCAACGGTTAATGTATGACTTAGATTAAATGGTCTAATATTAATTCAAGGTCAATGAGAACTAGAGAATATAATCCTAGTTTGATGGATTATTCTCTAAAATATAAAACGTTTAAACAATTTTAAAATTTTCCAGAAATGTTGATCAATAATAATCGAGAGGAAAATGTGTCAATTAATCAATCTAATTAATGGAAAAAATTAGTATAAACAATCAATATTTTTTTATCTTATGTCAGCTACTTAACAGTTAAATAAATAGACAAAACGCGTCGATAACGAAAGAGGCTACCCTTTTATCTATGGTCTCCAACTCTCCATCCATTCATGGAACTTGTACCTACCTTGGCATTAAGGTTATATATGTACGTGCACTCATTGTACAAATTTCAATAACAGAGAACTAATAACATACATAGGCATGTATAGGCAATTGCATCATTATTATTTATGAGGCTAAGATTTCGTACCAGCATGTAACAGGCATATATAATGCATGCATGCATGTAATGACAAATTGAAATCATACCAAAAGCTGCTTCCATATTTCTTATCATTATTTTTCAGATCCTTTATTTACTTTACTAGTGCCTTCTTCCTTCTAATTGGCCAAATAATGTTTACCTTTTTTGTCAAATTTTGTCATTAAATTTTTTAGGAAAATGCTATACATAACCCTAAAAGCTACGTATAAGCATTTAATTTACTCTTGAAAATTGTTTAAATTTAGAAAATCATGACAAAAACACACTAATTAAACCGATTTGCGCGTGTTTTTGTCATGAATTCCTAACTTTATACATTTTCCAAGAGTAAATTCAATGCTTATATATAGCCCTAAGGGCTATGTATAACATTACCCAATTTTTTATAATACCCCGTTAAATATTATTTGCAACAATTAGACATTTTTTTCTTTCTTATGTCAAATCATTGCAAATAATATGTAACAAATGTGTGTTTTTTTAAACGACTAAGAAAAAAAAAATGGAATGGTGATGAAGCATTATTGCTTGGATTTTATGCTATACAACACTTTTATCAAAATTTGGCCTTTCTTATATCATTGTGAACGTTGGAAGGTATATGATGCCCAACCAACTACGAGGTACCTATTTATTATTGCTATGAATTTTGGGCACAAATAATGAGATTGTTTTTGTTTGTTTACAAAGACTTATTGGGTCTAGAATGATGGTTCATAATGGGTATTGCTTGTTTAAGAAAAAAGAGTGTAGTCCCTTTGTGATGATTTTACTAGGAAGATTTTACTTCAATCATTTATGTATTTTTTATATTGTTATACAAGCTTAGAGGTAAAGCATACGAGAGAGAGAGAGAAAGTTTGTGGTCATGAGAAATTGAGCACCCTCAAATTTCATACTCAAATGCTCAATTGTTTGATTTGGAGATGATCAATTGAAAATAATATAAAAGATGATAACAATTTTAAGGTGAATATTATAAGCGATTGAATTTGTGCAAGCAATTGATCCTAATCAAACATTATAAAATTAGGTAAAATTTTTGGTTATGATTTAAGATGATGGACTCAATGGGTCTCCTATAATTAGACACTTTTTAATATGGTTTTGGGCGCAGTTATTAGGCAAAATAGCATGACTCATCCTCGAGGCCTTGCCTATCGTTCTTCATGAGAATAGAATCGATCATCTCATTTAAAAGGTGATGTAGATAATTTTTGACCTCTTTAGTCTCCTCTGAAAAAAACTAAGGGTACCCATAATGAAGGATACTAGTCACTTTTTCAAGATCGACTCGAGTGACTAATTCTATATAAAGAAAAATTTAATGGTAAATTCATGTTAATAATTACTTTGTACTGCCTCCGTTTTTAAATACTTGCTTCATTTCTTCATGCGCGGAGTTTTAGGAAAAATTGGAGAAACTAATAAAATATGGAGGTAGTGAGGTTGGTGGAAGAATAAAATGTTGTAAAAAGCAAAAGTAGTGGAGAAATTGGAAGTGAGAGAATATGAAATGAATAAAATATGATATTTGTTGGGTCCACTAGGTGGTAGAAATAAATTAAATATTGTAAAAACTTTCCAAATAAGAAAATGGAGCAAGTATTTAAAAACGGTCGAAAAAGAAAAGTGGAACAAGTATTTAAAAACGGAGGGAGTATATGTGAACAACAGTTATGTTATATTGGGACAAATTCCCGCTTCATCTCAAATAATGCGTATCTACAATTATCATTAATTTATTTTTTTATTTTTATTTTTATTTTTTTTGGAAGAAAATAATTATCTTAAGTTTGAAAACAGAATAGTTCAATTTCTATTTCCACAGTTACGTTCTTACGTATATAGTAACATGCGTGAAATTCAACAATTCGAAAACCCAATAATTAGAATACTAGAATCTTGTACAATTATTGTAGTAGTACATTTCTCTCAACTCTCAATATGAAACGAAATGGATAATAAAATTTCTAATATCCTAAATTTCAAATATATTGAAATTATATTTTTAACATATTCTTACAGCCAAATAAATAATGACAACAAAATTGAAAGTGAAATATCATTCAGATGGGCCCACAAAAGTGGGCCCAATGGATTTGGTTAAATAGGAAGTCAGAAATTCAGTTTGCACAACTCCAATATAATTACTCCCGATTAATTCGCCGGGGCCCTATCTTCTTCTCTGAATAATCCGATTTAAGACTGCCTTTTTTTGGGCTTAAACAGTAAAACTTTTTTAACCCCCAACTTCCCAATTATTGAAACCACTACTTTTTTCACACAATTTTTTTGTAAGACCAAGAAAGATTAATTTCCAACTATCTTTAACCTTTGTAGTTCGTTTTATCCTTTGAATATTTTCTAAATTTGGTAATTTTATTACTATATCTAAATAAAAATAGAGAAATGGTAATTCTATATGGGATGGGAAGATATGATTTCCATCTAAAAAGCCAAAAACAATTGTTGTAATTTATTATTATTATTTTTTAAAAACTTTTAGAGTAATTTTTAATGAGTAGGATTTTTAAGATGGCTTTTAACTTATTACAATTTTAGCAAACAATAGAAATATACTTTGTACTTCGCATTTGATATTGATAGATAAAATTTATAAAGGACAATAGGCTTGTATTTTCAGCTCATCTTCATCAAATGACATACACTCATGATATTCTATTTACCACAACAAAAATTTAATTTTGACTAAAGTAGGACAAAATCACGTATTACTTGGTGTGATATTTTCACTTTTACCTCCTTATATATAATATATTATTTTTATTCATATTTTGAACTCACTTTTCTTATTAATTGATAGTTATAGTTTCACAAATCAATAAAACTAAGGACATGTTCATATTTACAGAATTGAGTTGAATTGAACTGAAATGACCTAATTGAAGCTGACCTGAACTGAACTGAATAGAGCTTAAATGAATATTTTATAAGAGAAAGAAATTAGAAAGTAAACTGAACTGAACCAAACCGACCTGAAATTAAGGGTCCTAAAATAAATAACATCTCTCTAATTCAAACATCACATGACAAGCAGAACCAGAATCTTCACAACTCAAAAAAGTAAGAAAAATAGGAATACCGGACAAATAGGAATTTGTGCCAGCTGATGAAAGCCATTTTATTGCGCAAAAACTTGTAAATCCATGTTATCTTAATCTCGGTTGGTTAAACATTTCTACTCAGAAGAAGATAGAAGAGACAAGTTAGTGTTCAACATTCTTGTTATGAATGGCCATCTTGTGAACAACATAACACACAAACCAACCTAACTTTTTCTCAATCATCTTGCTAAACTAACAAAAACTAAATATCATTCGTCTTATGTTACTTGCATCATTTTCTTCATCACGGCCCGTGCCGTGAGACTTAAACAAAGGAAATAGAATAAACAATTGAGCAATTCTAAATTTATACTTCGTAATGTCTTATCTTTAGTCTAAAATGACCATAATAAAGGCCGATTAAAATAGTAAATAACCCATTAAAAAGTTTTTTTAAAAAATATCATATGTCCGAAGGATCAATTAGCGACAAAGTTTGTATATCTCTTAACAATTTAGGTAACAACTATTTTGTAATGCGGAAGAACATTGGTCCAATAGAGTTAAATAGTGTCACCCAGGGTTGGAACCCTATCATACAATAATTACTCCTAAGGCACACACCTTTGATAATTGATAGTGAAATATTAATGGTTGGTATTGGTATATTCTATGATTTTACTAAAAAAAAAACTAAGTTATACAAAGTATATCAGTGGTTGTAGATATTGATCATGAGCAGATAGTATAATGAGACGAAGGGAGTAGTATAGCTCGAAATAGACCTGTACTGAATTAACCCAATGTGTCTGTGGTGTTACCACGGTAACTACAATAAGCCTGTAAAATGTTAAGTGTACACAAACTCTTCTCTACTGCAATTATATTTCTAGACTGTATTATGTATTTTATGTTACAGACTCACATGTCTACAGACTGCATTTGCATATTTGGAGTATGAGTATATGGCAGTATTCCATCACTAGGCTTTCAAAATAACATGAAACCCAGGTATTATTTTTGTGAAAAAAGATAAAATTTGTCAATTTGATGGGTGAAATATACAGTAGTACACACAGTACACTGTTTGATAAAGTATACTACATTACTTTTTTTAAAGGTAAGAACTGACCAAGGCCCAACTCAAGGATTTCATGTCTGAATCATTAGTATGCCATTACTTGAAACTGATTGTGAGAGGTTACCTTTGAATTTAAAGAGCGAATTTTATCATAAATACTGTAGCATTTACAACAAATCCTGCTCATCGAATTTTATGGAGACAAGAATGAAGGATCAACATAAGCTATGTTATCTATCTACAACTCTACAAGACTACAACAGCCATCTTGTCAAAATTATAACTATCTGCTTAATTATAAATAATTGATGTATTCTACCTATAAGTTTCAGGTGTTGATTTGGATGAATCTCTACGATAAAAATCGTACTCGTTCAGCTTTAAGATATCGTCCTGCGACAAGCCTAGACCACCGCAGCTTAAATAATTCTTGGCAGCACGTACTCTGCAATGCACAAAACTTAGTTTAATAGTAATTACATGTTTTCAGGAATGAAATTGTTTCTTTTCGATAATATCAGTAACAAGGTCAAATGAACAACAGCCAGTAACTTACCTCCTTCGCTTTGTCTTCTCAGCAGCTTCAGCCAATCTGGAAGCCTCTGATCTCGAAATGTGAGTCAGAGAAGATAGATAATCATGAAGTACAGATCCTCTTACTGTCAAGTAAGATCTCAATGGAACTACTGACTGAACAATATTCTGTAGGCAAATCTCCCTTTCTCTGCAATAGGCCACAGCAGATTAGATATACTCTATATAAGAATTTCACAGAATCACAAGACATAGGAGACAAACCACAAATATAACAAGAAACTGGAAACTTGTAGGGCTTGATAAATTTACCAGAGAATGTGTATAACGAAAATTAAACTGGACAATAAAATTTGAAATCTTAAATTAATAAAGTAGAACACCAACATCCCATTTGGTAAGAGGTCATAAATTGAGATAATGGTGATGAAGTTGTATACAAAAAGTGTTGGTAAGGAACGCTCGTGTTCATTGCCATGGTAATGACACCACTGTTTATTACGAAGTATAATTTATTTTCCACGTTTATTCAACAAAACATCTCACCAAAAAAAACAAATATCGAGGAAAGTTGTCCAGCATACAGCAATTCCATTCCACTGTCCTAAAAGTCATGACATACCATAGCCTTCTGACTTATGTGCATCAACAATCTATATAAAGGAGCCTTAGAGGCTTAGACATCACTTAAGAATAAAAGAATGGCTGCATCACTCAATGACAATCATCATGCTAACACCTCCAAGTTCATGTTTTGGTTCAGCTTACTAGCTTAGAATAAATCTTAACTTGGATCTGATCCTCTTACTTTGTTGGTCGTAATCCACATCCTCCACAAGTGTGTGTGTATGTGCGCGCGCGTGCATGTAACTTCCCCCGTAGTCACCCCAAATAAGTCAATGCTTTTAATATTGCAAAGGTATTCCTAAATGTAAAATTAAGATTCGATTTGTCTTCACTTCAGGAAAAAAAAATCCCCATTAATTACTGCCAGGAGGGTGCATATAATGGTCATTTTATTTACAACCCGTGACTAAACAGACAAAAATGCAAACAAGTATTACAGTAACCTGTAAACTTAATAGGTGGCAACAGCATTGAGATCAACAGGATACAACTCTATGAGGGGTAAAAAAGTTTATATTATGCTATAGCTACATTTCACAACACACAAAACACACCAAATTCAGCTCATGAGTGGGAATGTTCATCTAAAAAGGACAAACTCCTAGTTCTGACACAAGGAACATCATGGAATTGGTTTAAATCAATAATAACTATGCAATGCATTTATCACAGTCAAGCACATAACTAAGTTCATGTTCAAACCTTGTGGATGAAATATCAACTGTTGTTGCCGCCTGTTTTATGCTCATGTCAACCAATGGAATTTGCCTCTTATTTAGACTTAGTAACTTTCCTAACGCCATTGAATTGCTTGTTGATATGAGCATCTCCCAACCTAGATGCAGATTTTTGGCAAGGCCCAGCTTCGCTTGTAAAGCATCAATTTCTTTAGCATACAAAAAATAGCCATATTGTGCAACTGAAAATGCCATCTGAATTTGCTGATAATGCAAACCAAAGGAAAAATCTTCCTCACTAAGACCTGATGAATCCTGCAACCATAAACAAATTATCATAGATGAAAAAATGAGCATAACATAGAATAGTGAGAACAAACAGTAAAGCTAAAAATCATTTGAGTTGCTTACATTGAGTAAAAATTCATAGTCATGAAGTAAAAGATCACCCTCTGAAATTAAATTGCTCATTCTATAACCCAACTCCACAAGTTGAAGAGCATTTTTATGCTCTGTGACACAATACTGCCCCAAATCTGTCTGCCGGAGTTCATTCCACCTTTCCTGCACAGGATTTTTCACTTTTATTGCAGAACTTCTAGAGTTTATAGATTTCTTAAAGAAATCCATGCGACTGCACTCATCCATCACCTGACATCCAGAGGTGCTGGGCTCATGATGTTCATTACTATGAGAATCTCCCATCTCTTCATCCCTTGCATTCACATTTAAGTCAATACCACAGAATCTATACTCAGAAGCTTGACGTCCAATAACAGACGGGTCAGCGTCATCAGTTGCAATTGGTGAGACAATTTCCATCATATCTGTTCCTGATGGACACTCTGTTCCATCATTAACTTCAGTCTCTGGAACAAATGTTGACTCTGGCACATAGGACATGTCGAATGACTGACACTGATCTTTAAAGTGATTAAAATTTGTAGCATCTGAATATTGGCGATGATGCTCCTCTGCTTTTGCCAAATTTAGTGTTTGCCCACCTAACGGGTTTGGAGAATTATCTACAGCAGGAAAGCTTGTGAAATCAACCACATTCTTCTTATCAGGTAATAGATGTTGGACACTTTTTGCTTTTTCCTCATCTCTATATATTTGTTCACTCATTAGTTTCAGAGAATCATCTACTTGCAGACAACTAGGATGCTTGACAGTGGGAACTTGTTGATGTTGCTGTTGGATTTTCTTCTCCTTTCCTAATTCACAGATCTGGTTACTTAATTGCAACAAGGGAACATCCACAGCTACAAAACTATTGTCACTTCTATCACCTGTCTCCGGATGCTGGTGCTGAATTTCCTTCTCTTTAGCTTCTACGAAATGAAATAGCTGGTCATTTGAAGGGTTCAAAGAGTCACCCAGTGCTGTATAGCTGAAAGGATTGGCACTTGCTGTTTCTGGATGTTGATGCTCACTGTTTTGAGTTTTTTCCAGATTCAGATTGTCAAATGATGGATTGAAAGAGACATCAGCTATTACTGGACCATCAAGATTCACTGTTCCCATTTCAAGATGCCAATGCTGAGGTTCTGCCATGCTAGCCTTCTCTATGCACTGCATGAGTTGGCCAGTGGACTGATTTCTTGTACTATCTATTGTACCACTGATGGGATCAGCATGTGTTGGAGGTGTAAACAAGCATCTCTTTATTGGGTTTTCCCCCTCTTTGCACTGTCCTACCTGGTCGCTCAACGGGTCCAAACACAGATTGCCGGCATTTTCTGTCTCTATCTTCACATCATTTGCATCTCCAAAATGAAAGACTTGATGCGCTGACTGATTATTAGAGTTGCCAATGATTGAAAGCATTTCATAATCCACTACAGGAAATTGGTGCATGTTAAAATCTAAGTTTCCATCTTGAGTATGTACAAGCAGGTCATTCAACAGGCTCAGAGAGTCATTGTTTTCCTCATTACTACTGCAGTTTGCACGGACAAATTCCAGATGTTGATGCTTTTCCTCTGCAGTTGATTGTTTGCATGAATTACCCACAGCAAAAAAGTTGAAGTCGTTAGCATGTTCCATGTCTGGTGACCGGTGTAATGTACCATTACCATCACCAGGCAAACTGTCTGAAACAGCAGGATATTCATTATTACAGATGTCATCTTCAGATTCAGACAGCACAGTGTCAGATTTTCTGCGGACATTGCGGCGAGTAAATGCTACTGGAGAGCCTGAAGAATTGAAGAACTCACAAGTATTGCTTCCTTCTATTATATCATTATCTACATGTAGAAAGCAATCTCCACTTAAAATTGCTTCTTTCTTTGCCTCAATGCTTGCTGATTCACTTATATCAAGATCCAATTGATCCTGTATACTGATATCACCCGACTCTTCTTCATCAATCAGTCCTAACAAGCTATGATTTTCTTCCATTTTGCAGAAGGATTTGGCAACTTCTGCTTCAACAAATTCAGATAATGAAGAAGGTAATGCCCAAGGAATCAATTTAGGCAATACACGGTGGCCAGCTTCCAGATTGAACATCAGAGGACTGAATATACTTCGCACATTTCCATCTGAAGCATTAAAAAAACCAATCTGAGAAAAACGCTTTTGGAAATAATATATAATTCGTATATAGATACAACAAATACTTTAATTTTGAACTACAGGTTCTTAATTATTTAAAAACTTTAGGTAGATCATTTGCAAGCAGCATGTACATAAATTTCATCAAGCCTACACTCTGATATATATGCGCATATGTACATGCAATTCATAATATATGTACCTAGCGAGAACGTCTTGAAGGATTTCAGACAATAAGCAGAACTGAATGAGCAAAATATATACCTAATTTCAAATATGATATACTAGTCTTTGACCTGAGCTCTGAATATTGTTATAATAAATGCTTTCTGTTTTTTAGGATTAAATTAACATGTTTAGAATTTACATCTTCATATGTATTTCAAAATTTAAGCAAATTAGTTAATAAAAAACAAAAACCTATTATCTAAGATATTTAGTTAAAACCTCTTTTTTTACTTTTTCTGTTAAAGATGCATATTGTTTTGCAGGGTAAAACTTCAAATATTTCCGCCTAGTGTCCCTTCCATCAAAGCTCTCTCTCTAACTAACTAGCTTATTACCCATGCCAATAGATCATAACGCCACTACCTAAATTGTGTATCCCTCTTATATCAATTAATAGCATACATGCTTCCGATCCGAGCTTTCTCCTGGAATATGCGCTATGTACCTCTATATCATGCCTTCGTTAAAAGGTATTACTGTTTGGAGGAGAGTGGAGTAAAGGACGTGTAGTTGGCAAAGTATTCTCCCTAGACAGTATTACACTCTGAATCTATCTTACCTTTAACGCATTCTTTACTCTGGCACCAAAATTGAAGATTCATCAAAGTCTTACGAATGTCCCCGCCGCAAAATTTGATGCATCTTTCAATAAGGATAGGTTGTATGTTGGCCTTTTCAGCAGAAGAAACCTGTAGAACAAGACACAATGAGATATTTGATGAGTGAACGGAAAAACTTCCAAACAGGAGAAAAGTCAGAGGATGTTATTAAGGTCAAACCAGAAATATATGGTCTGCCAGCTCCTTTAGTGATGGCATCATAAAACAAACTTCTTCTCTATCCAAACTGTCCGGCAGCAGCGGGCATTCATCTGAAAATTATAACTGTGAATAACTTCACAACCGAATAAATAGAAGAACATATCAGAAATATTTATCATGTTTATTAGCTAGTGGAGCATATATAATGTTATTGATAAACTTGTAAGAAAATCTTCATTAGTAATCCCTTACTATTACTGGTCAATATCATGGGCCGCTTCCCTATATCAGCCAGTTGTTGTATGGTAGAAATGAATCCACGATCATCGCATAAAGTAACATCCACATCTTCAAAAAGTATCAATGATTTGATGTCACCTTTGTCACAAGAAAGTTTACCATTACTGTGGTATTGACTTTCATTATTACCCACATAATCTTCCTCTTCTGAGAGAGATATTACTTCAACTGCACCATTGTTCAAATACTGTTCTGCTGCTCCATTTGTTTTTACGGGTGAAGTCTTTAAGTTGAGCTTACCCTTAGGACTTTCCTGGGCCCTAGGCAATACAAAAGGTCAATTTCAGGAGATTGTGGGTTATCTTAAGAATGATTTCAAGACAATGGGCATCAAAGGCAAACCGTTTGAGAAAATGCGATCCTACAGCCTCGCCAAATTTTTGCTTGAGAAGAGCTCCATTCCTCCAGTCTGATGCATTAACCTTGAAACAGCATGAATAAGCAGCAAGAAAAATGAATAAGTGTTGTTTAAGTAGAATACTCCATGATAAATTCTGCCAGTGGCAGGATCTACAGATGTCCATAAACGAAATCAATTACTACCATGTCCCAAAAAGTCACAAAACACTTTTACACTGGGAGAAGAAAACCCACATTAGAAATGGAAAATCACAGGGCCTTTCACAACTTAACAATATGCTACCTTGAAATTATGCAGAAGCGTTATCAGGCTCTTCTTTACGCAACTAGATAAAGTCTCTAGGTAAGACAATGAAGGACAATTAAAGACCTTTTAGCCAACTATTTACATTCAACAGTTACTAGAGAAACCGCATGCTACCACCATGTATGCAGCAAAGTTGTGTTTAGAGGTATAAAAATGAGACTACATTGAAAAATAATGATTTAGCAGGCAGGACAAGGTCACAGTCAGATCATTATCCAAAGAAACAATTAAGGTTAGGCCACTAATAAAGTTACTGACAATATAATGCGACCAAAGAGGCTCAACTGAAAACTCAACGCAGCAAGTATCTGCAGAACAATCAGCAAAATTGAACTACTATACTTCTAAAAAAATTGTGTCCCCTCAAGTATCCAAAACAAAGTAAGGAAACACACAAAACGATATGAAGCTCATTTGACTTTTAACTGACACTAGAGCTGATTTTTTAGCCTCAAGCAACAAATACGGGGTTTTCAACAAAACAACAACATACCTCAATGACTTGGAAGCCTTGCTCTTTTGCACAAGCGTATATGGCCGCCGATTTTCCACTCTGCATGGCAAAACAAAGAGCTTAGAAAAATCAAAGGAAACAAAAAATCCAGAGAGAGCAGGAACAGGTTAACCTGACACAGTGATACATGATATGATTGCAATTTCTTCATGAATTGTTATAACAATTTTTTTTTTTTTTTTTTTTGTGGGCTAGAATTACTTAATAAACATATTTGTGGGCCAAGGCAGCGGGAATTCTAACATTTACTGGACGGGGGTAAATTTGCAATCTATCTTTGGTGTTCTGACTTCTAAGCACAACTAGCACTCTTTTTAACGTTTTCTTGATGAAGAAAAAAATTATAACAATAATATATCTTTATAATTGATTTGTATAAAGATTTTTGTTATACGAAAAAAAAAAAATTGAACGTGAGGACAAATGTTAGAACAGAGTCAATAGACCATACAGTGAAAAGAAGGGATATGTCATACAAAGAGACTAGTAAAGATCAGAAACATGATTGTGATTTATTTCTATACTCTCACACTGTTAGAACATAAACTGCATTGTGAACAAGAACATACCCCAACAGGCCCTGTCACCAAAAGAACATTTTTTAAGCCAGATGCCTCTAAATTTTCAGCATCTGAATCACTATCATATTCACCATCTTGGATCGAGCACTTGTCAGCAGAGTAAGAACTTTTGCTGAAACGAAAATCCATTTCATGCCAACGATGAAGCCAGTCATTTATAAACTTCACAGCTTCACTGTTACCACAAACCTGCCAAAGTAATGGGAGAAGATATATTTTAAAAAAAACATTTTAAAGTACATACTAAAAAATGATTCCCCCTCCTAACCACCCCAAAAAGTTAAGTGAAACAAATACGAAGTATGTAAAAGAAACAAAAGTTGTTCTGTATCAAGATAAAATTCAAAGGCCAGACCTCCAATCCCTTTTCTGGATGATATTTGTTTGCCCACATGCTATTCTCTGGATAATTACCACGATTGAGATAATCTGCCATATTTCTGCAAGTCAACCACATCAGTTAGGTTTTGTTAAAACCGACATATTCCTCAATCAGAACTTGCTTTAAGAAACAAGTAGGATCTTCTAAGCATATAAATTGCCCAAAAAGTCAAAAGCAGCAACATTTTTATATAGGATCACATTTTGTTGGTCCAGAGAAACATGAAAACTGTTTAATTAAGACAATATCAGAGAACAAGCAAAAGGTGTTAAGCTTTTTATTGATGTAATATGTAGATAGACATCATGAAGACAAAACAACACAAGTATCTTATAGACAACCGAAAAGCGGACACCTAGAATACAGTATATACAGAATTTGTACCCTGAACATCCCCATCACCACATACATTTTTTTTTATTGTCTCCTTTACTGTTACTGCTTCTAGGGATTGCTACAATACAGTTTCACTATTATTTTTCTACTTTAGGGCTTTCCTTGAATCAAAATACTTAAAAGTATGGGCCTCTGCGAAATAACTTATACACTCTCTACAGGCTATGCCAAGCCTTCCTTCTGTATATGGACGTCAGTATGTCACCCCTTGGTGACTTTATAAGATAGTCCTGTAAAAAATTAATACAAGCTCCACAGGGAAAGAGTATATCTTACAGGAACTGGTAAAGACTAATAGAAATGGAGAGCCGAGAACCAGAATGGTACATACAGTGATACAAACATATGATATAATGACACATCTATGTTCATTATAATTAAACACAAAAACGTGATACATCCACTGAAATTTAAAAGCAAAGAGTGCATGACTACCTTTCCTGTGGAAAAACATTTTGCTGCTCAAAATGTGTGCTAACCTGGCCGACCTTACCAAATATACAAGGTTCAGTTTCTTCAGAATTCTAACAAAGTAGCACTTAGTCAGAGCAGCAGGTAAAATGCAAACCAAACAAAGATTTTATTTGACTTAAATTAATCTTGAGACGTAACCTCGTCTATAACAATGATGTGCTTACCTTTTCTAAGTTCTTCAACGAGTCACATGGTGTCACGTCTTCATCGATGATTATAGGAGAGGTGTACGTAAACATTACAGATGAGTCTTCATCAGTACTACAGAAATGAGCCAAAGAAACATCCTTAAGGAGCTGTGAAGTTCTGGAAGTATTTGAAGCTCTTGTAATATCATCAAAATTTAGGGAACCAACAATGCCTTCGAAGCAAGATCTTTTCCTTTCTTGATTACAAGAGGTGCTGAAGATCCCCTCATCAAAGGTCCAATTGCTCCAATCAATAGAAAATAAATCATCCTGTTAAATCAAACGTGAGAAAAAAAAAAAAACAGATTGTCTTCAACTCAACTGGAGATAGAAAGCATTAAATTGAGAGTGAAGTGTGACGAAGCCTACTAGAACAGTTTATCTACCTTAGCGTTATCAAAAACATGAATAGGACCGATCTCAACATTTCTCTCCTTTCTTTTATCAAAGCACCCATTATTCTCTGCCTCAATAGTCTCCAAATCTTTCTTTCCTGCCTTCCACGAGGAGAAAAATGGGTGTATCTGCTTTCCAGCAAAAATCCGTGAATTCTCCTGATCAGAATTGATAGAGTTAGCCACATAGAAAATTACACATTAAGAGAACAGCTCATTAAAGGCTGAATTTTCACTATACATTTTTTTAGAAGAAAAAATAAGACTGGCAGAGAGCAAAACAGTAAATTAGAGCTGAGCTAAGTCTTCATGACTTAAACCAAACATAAGCAATCAACATATTTTATCACTTGACTTAATAAAATATTGCATGAGAAAGAAATTAGAAGGATGATGTTGGAAGCAAACCTCGGCAGTCTTCTTAGCCTCCAGCCACAGATCAGGAACAGGCTGTGGAGATTGCAGGGTAGCTATTGGATAAGTTGATAGCTTTGACGTGGATGTCGCCTTATTTCCATTAGTTCTTCCATTTCTTGTTGAAGCGCGTTGCTTTGCTTTTAGTTGATGAGGGCTTGCATCATCTTCAAGAATGAATATCAAATTTAAATATATTCTCACAAAAAATGGGTAAAGCATTGTATGACGCCAAAAGTATAAGCATTCCAAGATAAAATTTCTAACTAGCTTTTTATCTACTGATAATCAAATATAAGAGGTAAGTGCAGAAATAAAATTTAACGTTGATCTACTAGTGAAAAAAAAACAAACAAACAAACAAACAAACGAACGAACAAAAATTTTAGTCATAGAAAAAGGTAAATGTGAATTGGAGAACTTTCCCTCCATTCATAATGTCTATGTTATTTCTTGTGCACAATCAATCAATCAAAGTCTTAATCCCATATGTGGGGTCGACTACATTAACCAAAAGTGATTATTCTATATAGTCATCCACAAAAATCTTCATCCTCCATCCCATAGGATCAAATACCTCATTCTCATGCAAATTCATATTCTTCCTAACTCCTTCCAGCGAAGTCTCTTTTTGTCTCCGTCTACCCTGTTAAATCTCTCCATGATCTCACTCTTCCACTCTTCGTACCGGTGCCCCCGGGGTCTCCGTCTTACATGCTCGAACCAACGGTGATTTTTCCTTCGTTTGTGAGGACATGACACAGTACAAACGGGTGCTTTATCATGTTTCAGACACCAAAATTGTTTAATAACTGCAGTCCATTAAGACAGGCAGATCAGTCGTTGCTCATAACCAGCTGAAGATAATAATGGGCCTAATATACAACTTGTTTGATTTCCTACAAATATCATTACTTAGGGACAATTAGCTCTTCAGATACTCAACGGTGTCCTGAGTTGGTTTGAAAAATAAAGTGCTGAAGTCCAACAACACTCCCATTAACACACACATCAAAAACTCAAGCTGAAAATTCTGACTGATCCTCTAGATTGCCAAAAAAAAAAAAAGAAAAAAGAAGTCACCTTTGACTTTGTTTTATCAGAGTTAGATTTTACTATCCTATTCTACTTTCAAAAACATACTCACTTTTATTTAAGTGAATCAACTTGTGAGCAAATTTCAAATAAATCTATGGAGTAGCAAGAAAGTTAAGAGAATATATGCAAATTTTCTCTAATCAAAAGTCAATGAGGGGAAAGTGCAACAGTATGTTGTGTGAGATTTAGTTCATAGACCACAATAGGGAAGGAGTTTAGGTTTTGAAGCACGGTGCTATCTGAGTGGGTAAGCAGCTAAAGATGTTTCGTTTGGTACCTGACTCTAAGTCACAAGGAACAAGTTAAAACTTTATCTTCAGCAAAATTGCCGCAAGGCTTAAGGTAGCACTAAGTTTGCTATCTAACGCCATCGAAGTCTACCTTAGACTCTTAGAGATATCTTTATAATTTGATTTTTGGCCAAGTTTGAATCCAGTTATGTGACTAATGAACGGTTATGGAGGGTTCTTGGACAAGAAAGCATCCATTACTTCCCCTGGACTTTATCATATGTCCATCTTTCACCAGGCTTATATTTCACAGCTTATAGTTTGCGAGGTTTATTAGCTAGTCTTAAAGCTTTATTGTATAACATGATGTTGTCCATCTGCAAGATTTTCCTGGATTTTTATGCTTTAATAATGCTAGTCAAGAATCTGGATCGTCCATTTTTCAAGCCATTCACTTTGTAAATGTTTCTATGGGGCATAGAGCACTTTGCAAAATACCAAATCTTACTATATTCCTGCTTCCAATTGCATTAGGATGGCAAAAGCCCCTATGATGTTTACCACCTTTATGAGTTTATGTAGGCTGCAGTTTTGAATACACTCTTAATATCTAAGGTGCAATGGCCAACTAGAGCCTTGGTTCCTAATTTGCATTTTATACTATAAGGGTGCAAAATGATCCTCATTTCTCGAGAAATATGACAATCCATATATGATACATTTTCACGCTCTACCCCACTAAAGGTATAGACAGTAAGATATAAAAGAAAGTTTTGGTCTTTCCATCCCACTTCGATGGGCGAATGCAAGTGCTGCTTTCACAAATAATAAATCACAGGGTTCTTTGGGGGTACAAATCTATGGCAGTTAAGTAGTGCGCATGGTTGGTGTGTAATGGCAATACCTTTCAGGAAAGGGCTTATGATGTTTTGGAATCATGTAGTGATTGTTGGCTTGTTGCCTCTTTAGCATAAAATCTTCCTGTGTTGAGACTTGAGAAAAACCGGAAGGATAATGCAAGCTCAAACTTCACCCCCTCTTTCCCTTCCCTCCTATCCCCTCCCTTTACCTTTATAATTTCTACCCAAAAATACTCTTTGCCTCTTCAGCTGAGATCAGCTCTGTTGAGTACCATCAGCACCTTATGATTTGCTAGAGATTTCCACATGATTGACATGGCCTCCAAACCGTTATAGAAGCAACATGGTCATAAACACATATGTCATATAAACCTAATCCTACCATCCCTAAAGCTAGAGAGACAAACTCCAGGTAACATCAATTTGTTTAACATAAATATTTAGGACAACTAGTTAACTACACCAAAATCTCAACACAGACACCAACAAGAGAAGATTAATTTAGGACTACCTGGAGATTCCGTATCATCGAGATCAACAACAGAAGCATCTTTTCCATTGACAGCCGCCTGCTTTTCAACCACAATGCACGTAGATTAACAAGAACATCATTCATGAGATGAACAAAAACATGTACAGAAAAACAGATAAGGTAATATAACACACAACTATGAACACATTCCCTATTGAATAAGATTATCTAAACAACACTCCACCAAATTCAACCATACTCAACTAAATCATAATCATAGCTTTCTTTTAGCATACCACATTCATATTAGTTCAATAAACATATCGAAAAATAAATCAAACTTTTAAAATACCACAAAATCAAGCTCAAATTAAACAACTTTCTCACAATTCAATCAAACAATTAAAGCATAAAAAATTAAAAACCCAAACCCACATCAAATAAAACAATCTCTACCTTTTTAGACCCCCTTTTCGACGGCGTAGAATTCCCTTTTGCATTCCGTCCTCTCTTTCGCTTCCCTCCTTGACTCCCACACACTTCCTCCTCGTCATCATCGTCGGCAATCACCTCAACCTTAGTATCATTCACCTTCTTAGACCCCCGTTTCTGAGGCGTAGTACTTCCCTTAGGTCTACCCCTTTTTCTCTTTCCTCCTTGACTGCTGCCAACTTCCGCCGCATCACCGTCGTCGGCGGCAATTTCCTCGACTTTGGTGTCGTGCGGTTTGAGAGGAAATAGCGTTGTTTGTACAAATTTCCGACGAACGAGCTTCGGATCCGGTGATTGAAGATCGACGACATTGGAAATTGGGGGTTGATCGGGTTGATTATCCATGGAATTGATGAGCTAGGGTTTGTGGAAAATTAGGGCTTATCAATCGAATTTAGGGGTTTTTTAAGCGGGAGTACACTAGAGTTTTACATGTGATAGGAGAGAGAAAGAGTGATGGAGGGAATCAACGATTTATTCCCGCGCAATTTGGATGAGCTTGTTGGATTCCTAATTTAATTAGGACTTTTTTTTTACTTCAAAAAAAAAAATCTAATATATCATATCATATATAACTAATATATAAAACTAAACTTTTAGTCAGGTCACGATGCAGCGACACTTTGGCGTTTAGGATAAAATTGTTGGTTTAGAGTTTTATTTTCGATAAAATACCAATATTTCAATCGTACAAATTGAATTATAATTTTATTGAAAAAAATTATTAGATTATAATTTTAAAAAATTATCATATAAATTTATTTTTTTGTATCATAATATTTTTTGGAACGAATAAAGTAGTTCAAAGCGCAAATCATTCATTTATAATATTACTAATCGGTTAAAATAACATATATACTTCACAATCTAATAGAATTTTATTACTATATAGACCTGTTAGGTCTGGTCATGAGTTAACTCGAAATATAAATTTATCTTAAAATTCAATAAACAACCCGAGCATCGCCAGGGTACAAAACTAGTATATATATAAAGGGGAGTTTTTTCCAAAGTTTTTAGAGAGCCACATAGGATCTAATTTTCTTAGCGCGTCATGTAGGATTATAAATCTTAGTAGTGGCCAATTAAATACGAGATTATTAATTTCTTTTAGAATTAAATAATTCAAATGTCATGTAAGCAAAATTGGCAAATGAGATTTTTAATTTTAAATTAATTATATATTATATATTATCTTTTAATATTAGGAATTTTATCTAAATATATAACAAATTTTAGGCTCATAAATACAAAAAAAAAAAAAAAAATCAAATAAAACGTGCATCGCACGGGCTTCATCTAGTATATGATAAAGTACAGTATACATAATTAAATATTGATTACTCAAAAAAATAAAATAAAATAAAATATTGATACGCCCTCAAAAAAAAGAAAAAAAAAAAATTATTGATACTTGTCAAGAAAAAAAAATGGTGAAAAGGGCTTAAATACTTCTTTAGGGAAAAAAGGGGGAGGAAAGACTTAAATAATGCAAAGTATGTGCCTATGTTTTTTTTTTCCCTTAACTGTCATTAAAAAAAAATTAAAAAAAAAAACTTTAGTAAAAATAATGTATAAAATGTTGTAAAATAAAGAGAATAGGATTGAAATTGGGAAGAGAATTGATATGTATATCTTTATTTCCATATAATAAGGTGTATATATATACATACAATATAATTAGGGTTTGGTTGGATAAAGATATAAACCCTATATCTAGATTGTTTCGGAATGATACAAGGGAGGATAATGGATATCCACAAATATTTCATAACACTCCCCCTTGGATGTCCATTATTGAAGACTGTGCCTCATTAAAACCTTTCTAGGAAAAACTTGTGGGATGAAAACCTAATGAAGGAAAAAGAGTACAACATTCTTCATAATACGCTCAAAATGCTGCCTCGTTAAAAGCCTTACCAGGAAAAACCCAATATGGGACAAAAACCATGGTTAAGGGAAAAAGAGTGCAGCGCGTAATTTCTCCCCCTGATGAATACATAACTTGAGGTATTCTAATGTAATGAATCTAATATAGTTGGGAGTCTTCTCACATGACGCAGAATAGTATCATTCCTTGAATTTCGATCCTCCCAAATCTTCAAATTTTTACGCGAACAAGTGAGTCTTCATATCACCAAACCTATAACAATAATACATGTGTTTATCCACATTTCATTCGTAATCTTTATTTTTAGTTGCCTTAACCATTATACTTATGCCTTCTTCTGGAGGCCGTGAATAATAGAAATTGATGATCATATTATTTGATTAAACATCCTTAATAAGCAACACATGATATTATTAATGTTGATTTTTCAATCTTGTATGAAATAATAATATAATACATGTAATTATATACATTGATCATGGTTCTCCTAGACCATGATAAAACAGTCTCACGCATAAGTATCTTGTTGATTCTTTAGAATATTTATAATTGACACGTTACTTCTCTTTCATATACAAATAGTAATTCTCATTACTAACACTTATATGCTCAAACTTCAGGTTGAGATGTCAATGATTTAGTCACATAGACTAAAAGTTTAATAATAATTACAATATTCAAAATATAAATTTTGTAGGGCTGGATATATATAAATTTGCAGTACATAAGATGTTCATAAACTCTTCTTCTTACATGATTCATAACATGCAATTAAATCGACGTCATCAATAATTCTATCACAATTATAAGCCCATTGGAATATAAATATTTCTTCCTCACTTTCCATCAAAGTTGTAAATATGTCTTACTATACTTTGAATGAATGAACATTGACGAACACCACAATTATTGTATAGAAAGTTATGCATGCAATATGAGATATAGAAAATATGATAACATATTAAACAAGTTATACAATAAGTAATCATGCATCCAACGACTTCGAACATATGTAATGAATAATCCAGTAACCTATGACTCACACATGCATATGAACATACATAGTACTTGAAATGATGCAAGACACTGTATAGTGTGGATTTAAGAATCCATATTTAATTGGACTTCTGGTCCATGATAAACTTTAATTATTATCATTATGTCGACATTAAAATGGACATATATTCCACATCCCTTATCCACTAGTCCATTATATCATGCATATGCATTATTTATCGGTTCCATCATGTACCGGTATCATCATATAATTCTCAAGGTACAATTTAATTTGCATGCTATTTTGACAATGATATCTGAATACATTTTTCATTGGTACCATCATAATTTTTCTTACATCATAGGCCATCTATTGTAATAATTCAGATATCTACACAACTTCAAGGGTATTTCATACACCTGATATTAATATACCATTACACTATTAAAAGTGTCAACTGCACTATCTTGCCATATATCACATTTTTATTTTGGAACCGATTATACAATCTACACTTCAGGTGTAGTGATTCAAGTATATACAATTGACAAGCTTTATCTCAATGTGAAACATATCTTGATAACATATGGACAAAAGTTGGCTAGAAAACATTTCAAATTACCATTATATATAGGGATCATCAGTTTAATTAATTTTTGCCAACTTATTCCAGTTCTCCCCCTAAGTTGGTAAAATATCTCATATATAGGGGCATCCAATTCTTCACCAACTTAGTATACAAATTTGCAATAAAATTCATTTCATGGGAGGATCATAATCAACAAAATTTATCTCTCAGAAGAATTATATTAAACAAGCTTTTGTCTCTTCTAGAGAGCAATTTTTAATTATTTCTTCATTAACTATACATTGCATAACGCATATGTATTTATTATTAAATCTTTCATAATTTGTACTCTCCAGGAGATCAATAATTCAACATCAATGGGGAGACATATGTTGTGCAGTTGAATTTCCTTATTTTCTTATTTCTTATGCGCTGACATATAATAGCCCCAATCAAAAGAATTGTTATACAAGCATAAATCACTTGCTTGTAATCTACTAGTGGTGATTTTCTAGATCTTTAAAGACTTAAATAATGTATTTGGCGAGCTTCTAGTCACCTGATAGTTGACAATTATATATAAGTTATTTTGGTGAACTTCTGGTCACCCATTACTCTTTAAATAAGAAATCAAAATATATTAACTCTTGAAAATTTTCATCAATACAAATTATTATGAATCATGATCCAAATATAGCTCAATCTTAATGTTATGTCTTGCCATTCAATTCATTTCACATATCTAACATTAAGAGAACATCAGCACATTATCAAATGAAACTTCAGGTTTCCATAACGGGTAATTATTAAACCCGGATGACCTATTTTAATTATCACATCCAATCACTTCTCTAACTTTGAGCTCTGGTCAGTTTTCCAACACTAGTGATCATTTTATTAAACTTAATTTATGCATGGCCATGAGTATGATGTGATATTATAACACCAACATGTGTTTCTTTATACAATTGACAAGACAATCAATTAATATTTTATCAAATAATTACCCATACTCTACTGGAGTTTAAACTATAAACTTGATACATGTTTATCTTGTTAGATATTTCATACTCTTCTGGAGTCTATTATATAATATGGAACATAAGAATTTTACTAAAAGTTATTTCTTCTAGAAATGTAGTTTATCACTCCCTCAAATTCGTCATTTTTTTGTCAAAAAAAAAATCGTCATTGTCAATAGTGGCTCCTTTCCTTTTCGAAGATACTTAATTATCTTTAGATTTTATTGATCTATCACACTTCATGCACGCTATAGGTTCATCAGCAATTGGTGTTGTCCATCTGAGACACCGATTTTAATTGGAGCATTTACAATTAATATATGATCAATGACATTTTTTATATCCATCTTCAGGATGGTACCATTTCAAAATATTTAATTAACAAGTGGCCACCCTCATTAAATAAATCATTGATTATTTATGTGCAAGGATTACATAAAATAATGGAATAAATATAATCTCCCCCTAATCCTTGCATATGGGGCATAAAATGAACAACATTAAATCTCATCCAAATTTAAAGGAATAAATTATTTTAAAATTACTCTTATATAGTCAACTCGTAACTTGAAATTGACTTCTCGAGTTAATAACATTCAAACTATTCTGTTATATATTATTAGTTTTTTTGGTGTTTAGAGAGCCACAAGGGCGGAGGTGAGATTCGATCCCAAGATCTCTTGGAATCGGGAGGGAAACTCTAACCACTTGAGCTATCCCTCACTTTCTGTTATGTATATTAGTTAATTTTATATGTTTGTATATTATCTTCCCTTAATTATAGGAAGTTAGGTCCTTCTTTATAGCCTTAGCTTACATTGATTACAGTGTATATATTGCCTATTGCTAGGCCTTTGAATAGTCAAAGAATTATCTTCTTTCACAATCATTTAATGCCACAAACATACAAGACATTTAAGAACTAAGATAGCCAAATGGTTTTGTCACACAACATCATAGAGAAGCCAACCACATACTCTTAGCTTGTATGTAGAGCACTAAATTAAAATAGT